CTGTGCAACAAACTGCTGGATATATCCATTGTTGGAAAGAAGTATGGATTGCTTCTTGGGGAATGTAGCCTGGGGGAAGAACTTGTAATGAATGAGATTGTGGAGGTGTATTTGCTAACTACACAAATGTGGCAATCCATTGTTTTGCGCTGTTGATAATACTTCCATAGAGACATAATGCTTCTATGCAGATGCTTGAAAACATTGTGAGACGCACACCTACCAAATTCTTCTGTTGAAGAAAGCCTTTGTGTTTCTCACTTGCACGTGCAAGACTTTTACACAGAACATTTCATGCTCTGTGCAGAAGTGCTGGAAAAAGGAATTGATTCTGTGCATACAATAGTGGAACAACTACACTGGTCGAAATGTTTACTACAGGCTTGCACCCTGATGCTGATGTTAAAATCTGTTTTGTAGATCAAGGGAATGTGATTGATTGATTTATTTATTTATACCCATAACTGCTTTTTCTATAATCATGACATTTTTATTTCTACCTCAGAGATTGTTAAAGATAAAATGTCAGTTTTACCAAATGTATTTGACACAAACACCAGCACAGGCTGGACACCCAGTGCTTAAATGTCTTGTTTACAGAGTGCATGGTGGTGCTTCCCAGCTTATATTTATATCTAGTCTTATTCTTGCTGCATTGCCACTTCCTTGAAACCATTATGTTTTCCAGTTATTTTCAGTGTCTTTCACTGCCCTCCAAATAAAATTTCAATCCTGAGTATAGCTAAATAAAGGATGTGATCCATGTCCTGGGTGGATAGCACGTGCTTCTGCAAAAATTTGGTTGTATTGACAATAGGGGAGTAAAAAAAAGGGAGTGGTTCCACACCATTAGTTAGAACTCATTCCTCTTGCCTAAGGATGTAGACCAGATCTGATCTTTTTTCAAAGATTAGGCTAGACCTGTCTACTGAAAAATAGGGAACAAATCAAGCTGAGACAGCACTTTTTTGTTTGAGGGATTTTTTGACCTGATATCAATCAAATGACTGTTTGTGAAGGAGTTTGTAGGGGACTATTGAATAGTGACTGGCTTCAGCCTATTGTGTGCTAAGTAGTCCAGATAATGTTGTGCAAATTGCTTCTTTTTGTAAACTCTGCAGCTCTCTCACCTGCAAGTCTCTGCTTCTTTGCTGCTGCTGAACATAATGATCTTAAATAACCAAAGTCTGAAGTTTCACTCTCTTTTCACATGCGGGGGGCATGTGGACTGCTGCTAGAACACCACTGTGAATAAGCTTGTTATACACACTCAAAGACTGATGCTTCTCTCCAATAAGGAGTTGATCTTTTTTGAAAGATGCTTCAGTTCTGAAACTGTCATTTAAGAAGTTAGAACCAGTGGCTGCAACTGGGTAGTCAGAAGAGGTAAATGCTCCCTGGGGATCGTGCAGATTAATCATGCATAATTCAAAAAATCCTCCAGGTTATAGAGCTGCTAGTTTAGGAAGATGCAAGTGAAATAAATGTAGATTTTCTGACCCACAATACACACAAAGACTAAGCTGCTGATGCTTTTTAAGCATCAAAATAATCTCCTGAGAATTCCTTATAGAGAATTATTTTGTTTAAATGTGTAATTTCAAAAGAGTCATAGGAATTCAAGTTAAAAAATCATTTGGGCAGGTGGGGAACACTGCAGTGTGCTCTGAGGTGGAAAGCATTATTATCTCTTCAACATGAAGCTTAGGAGTAAGAAGCAACTAGAGTATTTTGCTGGGCTGGATTTCAGTGGATCACAAAACACAACTACTAATGGATCACTAACACAACGTCCCTACTGCACATGGAAGAGGGACTGCTGCATAAATTGTCAGTAAATAAGTAATAAAATGGCCCCATCTTTACCAGTGAAAAGAAAGCTGAGCTTAAATGGCAGTTTAGAGAGCTGGACTCTGCTTATCATGTGTTTGCTGTAGGATTATCTGATCCTCCTAAGAGCCAGCACTTTTGAACACGCTGTGTGTATCTGCCTGATTCTAATGTAGATGCTTGGGCTCTCCCTAAGCTTTTTGCACATATTAATGTAATTTAAAAGCCATACATCTTGCCTACAACATATTAGTTAAGTGCTAGCATCTTAGCCAAGATACCACTCTTTAGGTATAAAGTTTGGAATTTAAAGCTAATTTGAATCCAGCTTTCCTGTTTCTTCCTTTGTTTTCTCAAGCACTGGTTCACTTTCAGATGTTATACTAAAGATACATCCTACAAACTGCTCAGTATTGAAGGAAATTAGGAAGAAGAAAAACTGTCTTGATTTGTTATCTGATCTCTTTTAAATTAAGAAAATTGTGCAAAGAACGGCAATTTATTTTTTATTGTTTTGGCTGAAACTATATTTAATGGTAAATTGATATGTTCTATAGCCAGAAAGATTTTGTAATTAATAAACCATTACTTTATACCTCAGGAGTATTCTGAGCTTTTCAGACCTTTGTAAATGGTTTCATCATACAGAATATTCACATAAACCTTACTCGTGATTGAAACAACTGGCAAAGAAGGAAATTGGTATAGTCATGCTATCCAAGCTGAGCAACCACTTGAAGGTGATCCAGTCACAATCTGAATTCCAATACTTCTATGCTTCAGTAGAAAGTTTCATAACTTGGAAGTTAGTAGTGGGCTTTTGCGTACATCTCCATTTTCTTGGAGAACAGGGCTAAAGATGCTGATGTGCTGTGGAAATTGGCACATCCAAGAACACATTTGCACACCAACCATTTTGTTCTTAACAAAGCCTGTGCTGTTTTCAAACACTCTGTCTTAACATAATACTAGTGTTTAATAAATTGTCTTTCTTTGCACAAAGCTTTGCCGCAGGAAAGCTGCAGAGAATTGTCCAAAGGTAAAATCCAATATTGCTGTCATTATTTAAATATTGTTCCTACTACAATTTTTCTAGTCCAGTAATTCATGGCAGGTATTTAAAGCATCACAGAAGGAAGGAGACTAGTAATCTGTTGCCTATAAATATAACCCATGTACAGGAAAATGGATATACCTATGTGCACTTGATATTAATTGAAATGTGTTTTAGCTTAAAAAAGAAAGCCAGCCATGGATAAATGGGTGTACTGAATGCGCTAATGGAAAAAGTAATGGCAGTAATGCTAAGTAAATAGCTGAGTAAAAATAGCCTCTCTGCTTTCATAATGTTGTTAAAGGTCAACTGCTTGAAAGTGCTGTGATTTGGAGAGCATAGAGCTGGAATAGTATTCTTACAAATTCCATTGGCCTTTTGAAAGTGGAAGTCTGAAAATAGTTTGGGGTGGAATCGACAATCTGATATGGGTGGGAGTTGGTTTCTTTCTGGTGATTAACAACAACTGAAAGAATTGTTTTTCACATCGATTTCTGGTGATTCACTTCTACCTGGTCAGACATGACAAATTTGTTTTGCTAGGTACATGTTGGTTGTTGCTTAAACATAAGAGGTCATCAAAAAATTGAATATCTATCCCATGTCTAGGACTTGTTCATGACAACCATTTCCTTTTAACATTCATTATACCAGTTGAGAATTGAGTTCAGTATTACTAGCTTGTGGCAGGAATTGCACTTTTTTTCCCCTTCAAAGGAAGTGACTTTGGATGTATTTTCCCTATGTCTCTTTGGCTGTGGCTGCACAGTTAACATTTTCTGGTATAGAAAAGGTTTTATCTTGCCCTCCTACGGTGCATTTGAAAACCACAGATGAACATGTGCACTCACAGTACTGAACATGGGGGAAGGGGTACCCATGAGATTTAAATGCTGCTGTTTTCCAGTTTAGCATGACATGAAAGGAAAGCTGGGCTGCTGCTTTTCTTTCTTGGTGAAAACTGAGGTGAAAGACCTATAGCAGTCTGGGTGTGGCAGGAAATGTTCAGCAACAATACTGCCTTAGTTGCTAGGAAGTGTTAACATATTAATCTCTTTCTCTCTTTCTCCCCAGAATGAATTGCCAGATACCCATGCAAAGTTCCACGTACTATTCCTTTTCTTTGTGGCAGCCATGTTCTTCATCAGCATACTGTCACTCTTCAGCTACCACTGCTGGCTAGTTGGCAAAAACAGATCAACTATAGGTCAGTTCATTGGGATATGGAGCGTTTCCTTGTCCAGAAAAGCAATTCAGTTAGAATGTGAGGCCTACATGATATGTCATCATGTATTAATTGATTTTTTCAATACTGTGCAATAAAAAGTATATTTGGTGGAAGTAATTAAAGGTGAAACAAATGGGAAAATGAAGCCTGTGGAGGTGTCCTCTGCTGGAGCCAAGCATTCAGATTCATGATGACAGTTCATTTCTTTTGTTTCTATTTTTGAGACCTCTGAGGCACCATGCATTTTTGTTGTGGTTTTAAAGTGTGAAGTGTGTAACCCAGTTGCTGCTTGCTACTCTGTTGTTCTAATACTTTGAGTAGCTGGATAGCCCCTACCAAGTCAGAGGCTCTGCTGTACATGAACATGTACTACATTTTGAACTAGATACAAATGAGTGTTCTTAAATCCTGTGAAAGAAAACTGACCTTATTATTAGGAAATGGCTTGTAAAAGTGTGATAAAAATGAAAACACTGATGCACATTTCCTAGCTAATAAGAGATTCCCACAATTTTATGCCTAAACATTTTAGATGGCATTGATCAGCATAACCAAACTATGTGCATTTAATTAAAATATTTGAAGTTCTTGCTAGGAAACATTTGAGAGTGTTTTTTGCAGTGTCTGAGGGGACAGGGAGTGATGAGTATTTCTACAACTGAGTAAGTAAAATCTTATATCTTTCATTGGAATTTAAATTTCTAACCTCAAAAATAAGTGGGTTGATTAAAAGTAAAATAATTTTCAGCTAGAATTTTTTTTGATTGGTTGACAAGAGAGTTGTTTGAATTCTTTTGACATATCTACAGGTAAGGACAAATCACAGTTTCTTTTTAACTTTGAGGAAAACTTCAATATATTCCTTACCCAAAAGTCAGTGGTCATAATTTGCAACACAGTACTTCATCTACTTTCTGGATCATGATCATAAAATGACAAGCTATTGGTATGGAGGGAGAGCAATGAGTCCTCTCAGTTCTTGGCCAAGGGTGTAACTGGACTGAGTAGAAAGATGGTTTGCTATAGTTCATGGTGTGACTGTTTCTAATGTAATAGATTTCATCTTCCTCTGATAGCACTGGATGCTCTTAATTCAGCTTCCTAACGTGGGAGATGTGTATGGCTTAGGTCCAGCAGTGCTTATGGTAAATTACTCCTCAAAGGGAAGGTCTTCTGCTCAAAGAAGGCTGAAGAGAGAGCAAGTCCCCAAGGAATAAGGAATGTATGTGGTTATCTGTGGCGTGCTGATGGTACTTAGCTTTGTCTCAGACTTTGTTAAATATAGAGAAAATTGACAAGGTAACTGTTCTGCTTGTCTAAATTTCTTATTTTTCACTAACCCTGCAATTTTTTTTTCTTTGATTACTTGAGATTATTTTTAATTTCCCCCAACCCCCCCCGCCCCCCACAAATATATATCAAGATCGCCTCACTTTGCCCAAAACTGGTTCCACAGCAGAAAAGTTTGAGTTTGTTTCTTCATGTTCCCTGACTCCTTACTGGTTTAAGGAATTGCATGTTTTTATTTTACAGAAACATTCCGTGCACCCACATTTCGAAATGGTCCTGATAAAAATGGCTTTTCTCTTGGATGCAGCAAAAATCTAAGGGAGGTTTTTGGTGATGAAAAGAAGTACTGGCTACTCCCTATCTTTACCAGGTATTCAGTCTGGACAGTAATAAATTAGGAAATTAATTGACTCCATGACTCTGCCTTGCTTCCCATTCTCCTGAAAAATACAGCACAGCTGAAAAGCCAACTTGTATATCTGGTACAGTAAATATTGGTGCCAGGAAAATGTGCAAGAGAAAATGATCAAACTCCACACAAGGTTTTCATTCAAAGACAGGGAGTTTGTTGACAAGAGCCTTTTAAATGCAGAAATTTGGAAAGCTTTGAGAAGCATATTCCAAAAATTGTACACCTTTTGGTAGTAGTCTGAGTGATTATAGAGCAGAAATCAGCAACTCAGAGGAGATCAAACAGCTGCATCACAACAACATCAGTTTAAAAACACCCTCTCTTGCCCCTGGAAAAACTTGACAGCTTTCCTTTTGCTATAGATGACACTTCAGGAATTGAAAGCCATCTAAGAAAGTGCAGGTAAATAAGCAACGGGGGGAGGAAATCTGATATGATGAAAAATGCTGGATTTAAAATGTCAGCTGAGCCAGCATTAGGGAGTTGCAGACAAGCTTGATGAAGCAACACTGAAGTGCTGCCCACTCCCACCAGTACCAGATTTCAGCAGAATGAAGTAGGAACTGTGTTTTCAACACTGCTCTTGGGGGGCTGTGTATCAGGTTAAAATGTTGCTGAACCTGTTTGTGAAGCTGAGGTCTTATGTCAAACAGCACAGGTAACACCAACAGCTTAAGTTTACTCAGCTGTTTGCTCAACTACCATGTGATTAAAGACAGAAGCCCCACTGTAGATGACTCGATCTGTTTTGCTACCACATTTTATCCTGATAAACTTTAAAAGAAGGCTTACCTAATTTCAAAATGATTGGTGAAGGGGAAAGCAATGGCTACCAGAATGTTCTTTATGATACAGATTCTGGGGTTGTAAATACCAAAGAGTCTTACCATGTGTGCATGCTGACTGGGGGAAAAGATCAGAGCTACAGTCTACAGAAATACATCTGTGTTTCTGAAGTCCACAGACTTGTGCTGTGTGCAGCAATCTGTACTCAGTGATAGGGTGGGAATCAGTTGAGCTCCAAGATTTCATTAACTGATCCTCTGATTTAATGGTAGAATTACCTTGCTAAAGTCTGGAGTGCAACACTGCACTCAGGTGTAGTTGATTTGAGCCTGTAGCCTTTGCCTTTTCAGCTTTCCTTGTTCAGCTCATTTAAGTCAACTACCAACAGTGATTTGAGCCTTTGTTTCTCTTTTAGTTTGGGTGATGGATGTAATTTCCCAACTCGTTTGGTGATTATGGATCCAGAGCAACTTGGAGTCTCAAGCCAAAATGAACCTGCCAAAAAGTAACTATAGCACTTAAAATACTGATTTTATACTGTTTAGTACTTATCTAGAGAAAAAATTGTTTCAAAGTTAGTTTTTGAATTCTTTATGCTTCTTGTCATCTTCAGAGTAAGTTTGTAAGTCTTCAGTGAAGGACAGACAAGATTAAGACTAAAAACATGACTGTGTTTTGTTGTAACAGAGGATAAGGCTCTAAGGAAGCAGTAATACAGAAACTAAGAGAGCTTAGTGGCTCCTAACAACAATCAGAAAAGTCCTAGGGAAGACTGAACAATTCTGCATGGAAAAAAAATTGTTTATTTGTCTGTTTGGGGGGAGGAGTGTGAAAGGCAAGGTATTATTTTTATTTCATCTCCTCGAGTATGCTTAAACAAGTAATGCCGAGACAGTTTGCAGGAGAAATCTCATCCTGGGATTTTTAGCTCATTACTTTTTATCCCTCCCAAATTTGCATGTTTTGTATCCTCAATGTGTTTTCAAAGAGACAAGAATCCCTGTGTCCAGTTTCTGGGAGTGTTAACATTTGCCACTTAGAAGGCTTCTGCATAGTTTGATGAATTTGTAAGCTGAAGATTGTTCCAGCAGCAGTCACCTGAGTTACCAGACATTAGAGGATTCAAAGGCAATACAAGAGAAGAAGTTGCTTCCAGTGCAACATAATCTGTGGAATTTACACAAGAACAGGACCCTTGTGCAAACAACAAAGTATCCTTTTACATTCAGAAGATTGTTCAGAAGAAGGCCGTGGCATTTTCATGTGATAAGATGGTATTTGGTTGCTCTTCCAGATGGAACTGTGAAGGTTTTCTTCTTAGCTGTGTGGCAGTGTTATTGTCAGGGTGTCATTTCTTGTGTATCAATCCATGGGGTTTTTTCCATTAGAAGTGAGTGGCCTGTGTCAGGTAGGAGTTTATTTTAGACTGATGACTGGAACACGCCTGCAGAGGAATTAGGGTTGAGGACAGGCAGCCATTTCCAATTGGCACTGTAGGGTTTTTTGTTGTTATTTTTGCTTTTAAGTAATTTCACTGTTCTAGAAATGTCTGAAGCAGCTACTGGTATTACAGAATTCCTCTTGACTTTGCTTACTTTTCAGCTCTGTAGCCAATCAGTCCTTTCCTACTCGACCACTCAGTGAATCACAAAATCGGTTGCTATCCAGTGATTGTCAATGGGTGGAAACTGGCCCTGAAGAGGAAAATGTGAAATCAGGTAGTAGTTTTGTTTGTGGTGGGGTTTAATTTCCTTTTTTTTTTCTTTGTCTTTTTTAAGGCTGAGAAAGGTTTTGGGAATTGGCTGGAGTGGTGTACAAGAAAATGTGTTTCATGGAATCAAGTGAGCATGTTTAGAACTAAAGGCTAACTTGTATCCCATGCTCTACTCCAAAATTAGTTATTATGTTAAGATAGGGGATAAATAATTCTCACTTTTGCACTTCAGTTCTGAGATTTTGGATCTTTTATGTTTGTTTAGGGGGAGGACAATATTTTTGTAAAATAGGCACAACATGATCAAGGTGCTTTCTGGTTTGAAATCTTTGCTATTTGTTATGCAAATCTGCAAAAACACATAATTGAGATTCTCTCACATTCTAGGTGCAAAAAAGCATATTATAGTTTCATTGGAAAGCTGATCTCAGCTAATTACTAACCAACCATCTCAATGAGAAACAGGTAAGACTAACATAATTGATGGCTGTTTCTGTACATGTATGAATAACAGTAGACATCTTGAAGTCAAAACTCAACTAGTCATGGAATGCAGAGGACTCCTCTGATGTTGGATGAGTAATAGCAAAGTCTAAAAAAATTCAGAATGGCTCTTGAGAAGACACGAATGGGAGTAATGCTGTAGTGCAGGAAACATGGGCTGGCTAGGCCTGAGATGAGTCAGATTAATCCTGTAATTTAGATTGAAGTGGGTAGTGCTGAATTTGTTACCTGGCCAGGGAAAAGAATCTGATGCTAAATGCAATTCTGAGAAAAATGCTGTCTTGAGGAGGAGTTCCTTAAATGTCTTTTCCTTAATCATATATTGGTGAGCCATGTTCTGCTCTTTAGGAAGCTGCCTGTGCATGAGGAATGAAGGTCAGTAAGTGAATACAGGCCTCTGCATACAGACTGCTCTGTCATATTTGGAATTAACAGTGATATTCTGGAATGTTTTTTGCAGTGGGTGCTGGTGCATATATGAAACTTCTCTTGGTGTATTTCCAATAGACTTCTTTTATGTTGACTTTCTACTGTGGTGAGCTTATAAGCTCCCATTAAGATTTTCTGTCTGGAAGAGAATCAAATCTTATTTGGTCAACTAACAGCTGTAGAAGCTAAGCTGACTCATTACCCCCTGCTTCTTTTTTTTTGTTGTTGTTGCTGTGGGTTTTTTGATGGGGGGCATGTTTTTTGCAAGTAATTCACATTTTTGTCAGAAATAAAACCCTACATTTGAATTTGGTAAGCTCAGTAATTTTAGGATTACATTTTTTCCTTTCCTTTTTTTTTTTTTAAGAGTCTTCTGACCTAAAATTATAGTTTTGGGACAGGGCTGGTTTGTTTTCAAGGGAAAAAAAATCTTTCTAAAAGGTCCTTGTGGGTGATGGTGTGATGCTTGGGCTGATGTTGGTCAGGCTGCTCAGTGTAAACTCATACAAAACCAAGATTAGACCAGTTAGTTACAACTACTGAAAAACCTACTCAACCATGAGAACTCACCAATGGTAAGTTTCCCCTTTCCAACTTTTCTTAATGCTATATAAATGTACAAAAGAATATCCCACGCAAGGGGTTCCTTTCAGCCTCCAGCTGTATAAAACATAATCTGATCTAAATAGGTTACGAAGGCTTTTCTGTTCTTCATGGAGCGGAATAGAAGTTTCTGAGAGCAGCTCATCCCAGCAGCCTTTGACAGGGTATTATAGAAAGGTCTTAATCTCTCTTTCCACTGACCTAGAGAGGGAGCATAGATGACTGTCCTAAGCTAGACAATTAATTGGTAATAGTTTGAGATTAATTTCTTTTCTATCCTCCTTCTCTTCCTAAATGAGGCCAGATTTAATAAAGGAAGAATTTGTACTTTGTATTACACGTGCCCAAGCTACATTAGTTTTAAAAGTTCTATAAATAAAAGTGCATAATTGCACCCAGTGCAAAAGCATTTGGGTATGTGTTACCTGAAATTAACTCAGTAACACAGTTTTTGAACCATTCTGAGTTCAGCTGGATTTGATTACAGTTCAGGCCAAAATAGTTAATTCCAGTCCTGCATTTCTAAGCAACTATATAGTAGCTGTGAGATCCAGCTTCTGTTCAATGCATTTCCATATTACACTGTAACAAGCCAATTGTATTTTTAAAATTCGGGCCTGTAACACACAGCAGAAACAAAGTCATGGCTTCTTCTAGTGTACAGAGCTTGACTTGGAGAAGAAGGCCATTTCCCAGCATCACTTAGGCAAATACCATTTGTGTCCTCACATCTATCAATTTAATTCAAAAATTGAATTGCCAGTCAGGGAACCAGGATACTTTTGGTGCAGATCAGTGGTGATGGATTGATGTTCTTAGCACTGATAAGCTTCTAAAACATAAGAAGTGTGAAACAAAAACCCACACCTCCCAGAAGGCTATTTCTGAGTTGAAGTTGGCTTAACTACTCACCTTAATCAGAAGTCTGTAAATCATATTACCCAGGTGCATTTTTATAATGCACTATAATGAGTTTTTTAAAAGCTAATTGGATAATTCCACTAATTACCTTTTCTTGTTTCACTAGGTTTCTGCAACACATTTTGAGCTTGAATATTACTTAATTTTGTTTGGAAGAAGTTGAACAGGAAAAAATGGAACATGAACATTTTAGGAAGAGACAAGAAGTTCAAGTTTCTGCACAGTACAATGGATTCTTGTAAGCACTATTGCAGAGCAGGGAAGTTAAGACAGTTGCCTTAAGAATCTTAATGTGCATTTATGCAACACTGAATTATATACTGCTACCAAAGGGCCAGATCCAGAAGTGCCCTGCTTGGATGCACAAGGTCCAGAGTGGGAACTATGCATTTCTTTTATGCTGCAGTGATGGGGGTAGATTGCAGAGACTCCTACCTCCTCACGGGCAAACTTCATACCTTAGGCACTGCAGAAGTCACTTCCATAGCAGGTCTCCAGAGTACAGAAGGAAAGAAAAAAGGAAAAGGAAGAAAAAAAAAAGTCAGCCTAGAGCATGGTCAGCAAGTCTGAAGTGGGAGTATACATAGTTCAGATGCCAGGTGATGGGGAAGGGACTGGATGATGTCTTCTCCTCTCTTCCTGTTAACCAGTCTACCCCATGATCACAGCTCTCCAAGTCTTTTGGGACTTAGGGTTCCTTCTACTAGCTGTGCTTTGGAGCAAGGCAATGCAAACAACATAAAAGCCTTTAACTCGGGTGTTGCTTTTTTGCTATAGGATTGAGCTTCCTCATAATTTTAACTTGATTTATTTAACCATACCAAGGACAGAGCTCAAAGAAGAAAACTTGGGTTTTAGTTGAAAACTAAACTAACTATTACTTTCCAACAATTGTCAGTCAGCATACAAGGAAAAGGCAGTCCAAAAAGGAATTAACAGTTCATATATTTTCTGTTACTGTTCGCTGTGTTCTGTGTAAGGCAGCAACAAAATGGTCAAGTACCCCTGAGAAAAATCATATTGCAGTTGTGTGTTGCTAGAAAACAGAACCAGCAGAATACTGCTTTTTCCATGGGACTCTCGATGGTTTATAAATACTGTTTTATACTTTTGTTTTATCTTTTTAATAAAGGCACAAGGTTTTATTGGTTCTAAAATACAAATATCAGGTACTTACAAGAAGATTAGTGTCGGATCATACATCTGTGTTAGCACACTGAAAAAATGCATCCTTTAGTCTCCCACTTTCAAGTCCAGTTTAAGTGATGCTGAAATTGCTGAAGATCAATGGCTTTGTGCAGCAATGTACCTGTTCAAAAAAGGCAAAATGTGTTTCCTGTGTGAGGAATCGAGTCCCATCCTTAGCTCAAGACCTACAGCAAACAACATGGGGTTTTCTTGTTTCCTCGCTCCTCTACAGAGAAGACTGCTAACTCATTTTTGGGTGGTATTGGAATTTTGCACCTGGAAAAAGTGACAAATGCTATTTTTCTGTCTGTAAGTTTTCTGATGTTCAGCTGATGCTGATTGCAAATAGACATGAGTCCTTTTGATACAGACTGAAGGTAGTAGTCAAATTGATGATTGAGTCCAAAAGAACCTGTTTGGTTTGTCTCCCATATTGATTGCTACTTGAGTTAAAAACGTTTATGATGAAAATACTAAGGTATCAAGTATACTGTAAGGTTTAAAATAAGTATTTTTGTCTTTGGATATAATAAATTTTTCTTAAATATTAATCTTCTGGAACAAGAACTCTTTGAGAATCTATGAACATGATTTCACTGTTGGATGTTCTTGAGACAGAAGCAATGGTCCAAACTTGCATGTTTTATAAAAGTTGCAGAATGTTCCTTCAAACTTTGTACAAGAAATTTTGCATTTGCTAATTCCAAAACTTACAGAAACATTTGCTGCACATTGATCTGAAAGGTTTAGCTTTTTCTTCTCAAACGTTAAGTGAGAAGTGCTCATTTTAATATAAGCTCTCAGCAGTATTGCACCAGCAAAATTTCTTGGGGAAGATAAAAGAGAAGGAAGACTGCTTGTTCTGAATACCAAAATTTGCAGCCCCAAACACTGGTGGAACTGTCATGGAGGGCCTGGGATATCATCTGGCTTTTCTGCATCCATGTATTAAAGCTGAAATAACTCATCCATGCACAGACATCATCTAGCAGAACTATAAGAAAAATATGTGTCAGAATCCTAGGTATCACTGACTCAGCAATATGGTCTCTGCTCCCCCCACCTGCTCCCCAAAATGCTTCATATACACCCCCCTCATGAATGTATGTATCCTGCAGGCCAACATCAGGAGAACTTGTTTGATTTCTTTGGTCAGGATAGTGAATCTACAGGAAAAACTGCAGGTAAACAGACTGGGCTATCTCCATGTGCATTTTCTAGTGAGTGCTTCTATTCTGAAACCACTCCTTTGTATATCTGATGGACATTTTTGTGGCTTTTCATGAAGAACTGACATTTCTGACATTTCTGCATATGTTTATGCAGATCATAGGAATATTTTGTCCTAGATATTTCTTCATATTTGAGGTGAGGAAAGGAGAGCAGTGGCTTTAGGATAATCCTGAGGCCAGAGTTACTGTTGGTGTAAAAGCAAGTATTATGAAAATTACTTTGACAAATATGAAACATAGTAAAATGATTGAAAGATGATTCTCCCACATTCACCACCCCAACCCCTTTTCTTTTTTTCCCCTGGGGAACAGGAGACTAAGAGAAACCCCAGGCTGTTTTAAAGGAATTAAGTTCTCTAAGGGAATTGTACTGCTGAACTCTAAGGGCATGCCAGCGTGTGGGATGGGGGGCTTAGGTTTTCCTAACCTAGGCAGGCCTGGGCCTTGGAGGAGGTATCATGGCTAAGGCAGCAGAATGACATCCTGTGTCTTTGGGTTCTGTCCTGAGTGCTCCCTAGGCTGTGCTGTGCCACGAAGTCCGTGAGGGAGCAGGATGGCTCTCTGGCTGTCAGCCTTATGTGTCCCTGCCAGCAGAGGCAGGGGCTGCAGGAAGGGGGCACTTTTGGCCCATGGTCGGGAGACCAGAAGGGGGATGGATCCTGAGAAAACAACTGTTTAGGGTGCTGGGCCATGTTGTACATGCTGGTTTTGTGCTTTAACCTACTCTGTATCTGGGAGTCTTGAAAATACCTAGGTTGTCATTAAAAATAGCAGTCCTTAAGCTTTTAGATCCATTAAATTAATGACTACTACGAGCCATACGTAGTAGTTACTGTAGGATAGTTGACATCGGCTGCAATTAGAAACTGCTTCAATTTTTCTTACTGCTTTTCTTTTTTAAAAAAATCTACATAATTTCAAAAAATTTAAAAAATGGCTTTAAATTCCCAGTGTGAGGACAGAAGCCTGACGTAGGGGAGGATTTCAGTGCAATTTATCCTCCATTTTTCTGAAATGTCTCGAGCTAAACCAGTCCCTGTGAATAAGAGGCAGGAAAATCCATAAATAGAAATTACTTAAAACTACACAATACTGGGTTTTTTTTCTTACTGTTATTTAGTCAGAGTGTACAACACATACGTCATTGCTGTGTCTGCCAAAGGCGTATTATGAGAGGAGGGCAGGAAGAAAAGTAGCTTTCTGTCATTAATTGACTTCCTACAGTATTATTTTGAGACTGTATTGATACAAGTCAGATTTGATTAAAAACATCCATTTTAAATAGTCAGAGAGTTACTTTAGAGAAAGTTCTGGCACTTCTACTTTTAGTGATTTGAGTGGAAATCACGGTAACCTTTTTGTTAAAGCTGTCTCTTGAGTGTGGAATTTGCAAGTTCCAAGCTACTTTTGGTATGCTATTCTTGCAAACTGGTCCTGTTCTCCAGAGTGCTGAGTACTTACAGTTTTCAGGTACTGTTTCTTTCCTTTGGTCATGTGTGGTTCTTCTTTGTTAATCTAAATAATCTTTTGGGTTGGGACGAATTTCAATACCACTGAGTATGCAAAGACTTCATGATCTAACTGAAGTATGGTTCAGTTGTAGCTAAGCAGAGCCCCAAGAGGAGGTAAACTGCAGCGTTTGCAGCAGTATTAATGTCTGGCAGATTTACTGCAGTAAATGCACTGATTCTGACACAGATTGACAAAATCTGCCTGGATCTGGAGCACTGACTGACCAGATTTTCATTTAAAAGTTAACAACAAAACCATGACAGTTTTGAGCTTGATATGTTCTCCAAGGACACCCTCTAAAATTGTGTCTGACTGGGGGATTTGGGTGTGCATTATAGAGGCTCCAAACAGCAGTTACTTTTAGCTCACAAACACATCTTTTTGCAGTACCTAAACAGCGATGTGGGCAACTTCAGAGGCTCTTCTATCCCTAAATGGCACCAAAGAGAGCAGCTGCACATGAAGTGATTTAGTACTGAACACAATTGTTACACTCATTTCTATCAATTTATTTTGTATATAGAGCTTTTTATACACATTTTTCTTAATTATGTAAGTATCATGAAATGTCACGAAACTATGAGTCGTAATTTGTTTTAATGCAGATTAAAACTGGTGTTTGGCCATTTGTTTTCTGAAGCTATTACTTGAATTGCTTCCCTTAGGTAGTGAAATCTGATCATGTTTACAGGATCACTTTCTTTCGTTTTGGAAGGTTTCCCCATCTTTCTTCCTAGCCCCTGTCCTAAGAAACAGAGAGCTCATGCTCATCAGTCAAGCAGACCTATCAGAGATTAAGTATTTGTTTTACTTTAATTGCCACCAAAGCATTGGAGGTGACATGCCAATTCTCTTCCTTTTATACTGCTTAGCTGACAAGACACTTAGCATGGTCCTCTCTGATTTCTCCTGTCCCTTATCCTGTTACCAGCTTTATTGTGGGAAACTTTTATCTTCCTGAATGATGATTTACAATCATGAAGCTATCCCAGAAAGAGGCAGCATTCCTGCCGTTAAGCATGTTCCGTTTTTAACTCAGATGAACGAAACATCCCTGTGTTATCCTGCAGTTCCTTTTGTATTTGCCAGCAAGGGTCATCAACATTTGCACTAATCGCAATGTCCCAGCTGTTTTACTTCCACAAAGTTATTTTTAATTGTGCTGCCTAAACTTGTAATGGGCTGTAAAAGATACCTGTAATAATGACGCACTTATTGTTTTTTTGTATGTTACAGACAGGATTCATCCTATGCACAGAGAAAATGTTGCCATTTATAGTTTACTACTTGAAGTAACTTTTTGAAAGGGGCTTTTATAAATTAATGAAATACAAAATCACATTGCTTTGCCTGGAAGTTCCTTCATGTTTTAATTGTATTTGCAATGTCCCCATGTGTATACTTTTCCATAAAGTTCTCTTAAGCCATTTATAACCAATGAAAGTGCATTCAAGATTTTGTACATCAGTGTTCAGACCTGTTCATACTTCTCTGAAGTATAATCCATGTTTAATAAAAAAGTACCATTTTAAGCCTCTTTTCCAAAGTGACATGAATGGACTTGACACTTGAATTCATCAGTGAATGCAACATCAACTTAATAAAAGTACGTGAAAGAATCTGAAAAGTGCTCAGCTGTAGCATCTGTGTATTAGATCAGCGAGAAAAACTGCCTACACGGGAACACTGCGCCGTTGCTCCGGTTTTTACACTCCAGCTGCAACAAACCTAAGATTACACTCGCTCTTGACACATCTTCCAGGTCACTGGGTCTTGTGGGGAAATAAAAAGCCTGACTTGTGGCTAACTCTTATTCCTTCAGGACACTAAGTCTGACTTAGAAGTCAACTGCTCAAACAGGAATCAGCCATGTTCCTTTTAGATCAGGAGCCATCTCGAAGAGAGCTGTAACGCCCAAGCTGACACTGACATGACAATGACACTGGCAGTTAAAATCAACAATTCTTTCCAGAAAGTTTATTTAAAAATTGAACACTTTATAACATTCCATTAATTCCAGCCTCATTCCCCTATCTCTGCAGTTCGTTCCCCTTGGTCCTTGCATGCCTGATGACAAGTGTCAGAGTTGTGTGTCTCAAGTACTGGTGCACACAGAACAATCCCTGAGGAAGGGAGTGACCAGCCTAAGTCATGTGGCCAGTACCAGCAGATGAGTCCTTTCAACATAGCAGGAGTGTTCTCCAGGCTTTCAGAAGGCAATCACTGAATCTATAAACTAGTTATCTATAAATCACCACCAGTGCACCTGGTAACTTGCTGTTTAAGCCCTGAAGAACAGAGTGAGCAGATGGTAGAGAGCCACACAAAGAATTTCTCTAACAAAGCAATAATAAAAAAACATACACTGTTCCACAGAGCTACTTTTAATGTAGTATTTTGTACACCACAGCAAAGTCTCATTTGTCACCCACCCTAATTACAGTGAATTACAGTAACAGGTATGACAGCAGATCCCAGAGTAGTGCATGACATGTGCCGAATAGAAATACGCTGTATTGTTCAACATGTCCACTTCCTTGACACATTTAAGTGGTTTAAATGATCGCTGATGTATCTGTGCTCAGGAAACTTGGCTTGTTTCAGGCTTTTGAAAGCTTCCCACTTGGCACGCCTCTCTTCTGCGTTGTGTTTGTATTCCTGTTCCTGTGTCAGGTAAGGTTGGCTGAGCCAGTATTCATTCTCTGCTTCAATTTCCAACCTTCGGATCATTGCTTGCTTCATCGAAATGGTAACCTGTCTTGGTCGCCTGTACTTCCCAATCCATTGCTTTCCAGGAATTCTCTTTCGCAGTAAGATTGTTGTTAAAAACATTTTGCCTTAAAACATAAAGAGGAATATAAAATACTCATTACCTTAGGGACAAAAATAGAACTTTGACAAGAAAGATTAGAAGCTCTGCGCTCACTCTACTGCCTTTTAGCTGACTGGTTTGAAGGCTCAAGCTCGGAACCTAGTACTCACAAACCATCACACACTGCAGAAAGCACAAGGCAAGATACACTAGAAACTTAAGAATCAGAAGAAGAATCTGTGTAGCTTAAGAATTTATTCAGTTATCCTTATACTGCAGTTTAAGCATATCCTCCATAAATTAAGAAAAATCCAGTCACAGATCTCAAGAAGGGTTCACTTCGCTCATGCCTTCTTCAAAGAGCTGTGTTGTCAAAACAGTTATTTCCAGCCCTGTCTTCTCGAGCCAAATCTGGCCTTTCCTCAGCATTAGGTTTTGAACTACAGTCTCTCCATAAGCTTATTAGTATGTAATTACCTAGTCCTGTATCCTGACCGAGGGATATCTGGTTGGTAGAGAAAAACAATATCCTGAATTAGACCAAGTGGCGTAAGCGGAAAGCACCAACAACAGGCTCTGACACAACACGCTGGGTGTAAGGGGCCGGAAAGGCCGAATGGCGTTTAGACTTTGCACAAGTGCTCTTCGTTAACCTGTTCATTAGTCCCAAACCCGCTAATGCCCAGGTTTCGCATTACACGGCATTTCATCAGCGTTAGGGAATCGTAGAACACGCCGAGTTGGACGGGACTCACAAAGACCATCGAGTCCAAGTGGCCCTGCACAAGACACCCCCAGGAGCCACACCATGTGCCTGACGGAGTTGTCCAAACCCTTAATGAGCTCTGCCAGCCTTGGCGCCGGGACCTACTCACAAGCGCTTCTACCGCAGCACAAACCAGCACTGCCGCTAACAGAAGCCAACCCACCCCGTTCCCACGGTGCAGCTGCACGCCGGCGTCCCACTCTCTGGCCTGATTTAGAAGTGAAGCCGCGGGGATCCGCGGGGGCACCGCTGTCCCAGTGCCCAGTTCTCCTCCCGGCCTCACTCACCGGGAAGCTCCGGCGGCGGCTGCAGCCCCCGCGGAGGAGCCAAGATGGCGGCGGGCGGGGAGCGCGACTCTCGCGAGAGGTGGCGGCGGGCGGGGCCCGGCCGCGCCAATGGCGCTCGCGCTGGCGGCAGTTTGAATCCCCTCAGCGGCGCGCGCCGCCCGGCCCGGCCCGGCCCGGCCCGGCCCGCTTCTCCCGCGCGGCCTCCGCGCTCCGCTTCACTCCTCGGAGCCATGGACGTGACCGGAGGCTTCTTCGGCAAGCTGCGGGAGCTGGCCCTCACGCTGGAGAAGGAGGTGAAGCAGCTGCAGCGGGCCATGCGCAGGGAGGACGCGGGTAAGAGCGGCCCGCGGCCGTGGGTGGGTGGCACGGCTCGTCTGGGCCCGGTGGCTTCGCAGGTGTTCCTCGGGGCCCCGTGCTCGGTTTGCGTTCCCGCCTGCCGCTGTCCCCTGCGCTCCTCTGGGAAGTGCCTTTGGTGGGCCTGGAGAGCAGCCTGGGAGTCGCTCGGCTGGGGATTGTTCGGGCGCCTCTTCGTCTCGTTGTCTCTCTGAGCTCCTTTGTGGGTGTGTGGCTAAGTTTTTATCACGGAGAAAAACAGGATGACTGGGATGAAATGGGAATCACGTTCTTGCTTCTCCTTCTTTTCGTGGATCGATATAGGAAAACATTTGCAGGGCATGTTCTCTTTGTGGACAGATAGCACAGGCTATCTCTGTGCTATGTTTTGTCACGTAGCAGGTGCCTCTCTTTTATACTATTTGTATTAGCCTTGGTTTCCAGTGAAAAAAAGTAATGACTGCTGCATTGTGTAAGTGAGCAATGCGTCTGCCTGCGTGCGAATACGATGGAAGAATTCAATTTTCTGCTGAGATTTGTTTTTCACTGGTCTCTAGAACACTTTTTTTCGATTTCATCCAAGCTCTTTAAGGATAAAATTTTAACATAAGTAATTCTTGACAGCCCAGGGACCTACTTGTTTTGTCAATATCTGTCATATACAATCTTAGCTGCAACATTAAAGTGGAAGCCTGGGCAGTTTCTCTGTGGAATTTAACACACCATGCAAACAGCGGATTCTGCAGGAACTAGTTCTCTTTGTTTTTGTCTATATTGACTCTCTTTCTCTAATGTACGAATTCGATATTTCTAATATTATAGAAACATAGAATGATTTGACTTGGAATAGACCTTAAAGATCACCTAGTTCCAGCCCCCCTGCCATGGGACACCTTCCACTAGACCATATTGCTCAGAGCCCCATCTAACCTGGCCTTGGACACTTCCAGAGATGGGGCATTGACAGCTTCTCTGGGCAAACCTGTTCCAGAGCCTCATCATTCTCACAGCAAAGAACTTCCATCTAAATCTTCTCTCTCTTAGTTTGAATCCATTCCCTCTTGTTCTGTCACTACATGCTTTTGTAAAAAAAATCCTTCTCCATCTTTCTTGTGAGCTCCCTTTAGGTACTGAAAGGTTGCAATTAGTTCATCCTGAAGCAGCCTCTCTTCCAGGCTGAACAATCCCAATTCTCTCAGTCTTTCCTCGAAGGAGAGGTTCCCCATCCCTCTGATCATCCTGGTGTCCCTCCTCTGGGCTCTCTCCAGCAGGTCCCTGTGCTCCCTGTGCTGGGCCCCCAGAGCTGATGCAGCACTGCAGGTGGGGTCTCAGCAGAGCAGAGCAGAGGGGCAGAATCCCCTCCCTGGCCCTGATGCCCACCATTGGATGCAGCCCAGGACACCTTTGGCTTTCTGGGCTGGGAGTGCACACTGACAACTCATGGCCAGCCTCTCGTCTGCTAAGAGAGGAAATTGCATTCCCATGTAGAATGTTATTTTCATGCTAAAACACTAAGACACCTCTTTTACTTTCTAATCTCTTCTATGTGAATATGCATCTTGAAGACTATGAAGATGAATCTCCAATAGCAGCCTTGCATGACCTCTATCGTGAAATCAAGACTCACAAGGTAACATCTTAACTTGCTTTCTTCTTGAAAAATTGCATGTGTGTGTATGTTCCATGAACTTACGGTTCTGTTTTGATCATTAAGCCACATTCAGCTTTGTTAGTCAGCAATTATAACCCTTATTTTTACTCACTTAACCTCTTAAGTCCTCATAATGGCCATGGATATTGGGGTAATGCCCAAAAAGTTGCAGGTGACCCAAAGGAGATTTAGCAGTGTTTCTTAGTTTGCAGTCACCATTGTCACTCAGGTAAGCAGGGAACAAAGGTTACAAGGAAGTTTTAGCTGTGCCAAGGTATGAGGAGAATGATTCAGGAGCGACAAAAAAGTTAAGCTTGCTTGTTTTCCATGACCAGCGTTTAGAATAAAATCAATCTTCACAGAAATTTCAGTACCTTCAGCCATTCAGTTAAACTTGAGAAAAATATTGTCTATTTCTTGTACAGAAGTAGAAAAAATGGGTTATAGAAATAATTGAGTGATATAAAAATGAGGTTTACCTTCTGCTCTAATTCTTTGTACATATGGAGTAAGAGTCCTAACTAGTTGCTGCTACCTCATATTTTTCTGGAGTAAAAGCATATAATTTTCTTGGCTAGGTTACCAGTAAGTAGTTATTGTATTCTGCACTATCATTACAATTACTTTTATAAGTTTCCATACACGTATGCCCTATATATTGCTGGTATTCTGTAGGTGTATATACACCTGATGGTTTTCAGATACAGAAAACACCTAAACTCGCTGCTTATCTTTATCTGAATTGCAGTTGAATGCCTACTCCCAAAATGCTTCATGTGTAAACAACTACCATGTGATGATTTGAAAACCACTATTTCTATGTTCCCCTCTCTGTTCCCAAAGGAAGAGGTTAGTGCCAGTCTTGATAAGAGCTGCTCTGAGGAAAAAGCAATTAATGAATTTATGAAGGCGAGTGAAATCTTGATGCAAAGAAATGCAGCAGATCTTGGAAAAATAAGTGAGCTGTTCCAGAAATATGGCTACAAACCACATGCCAAAGACTCTACAGGTAATATTTCTTGTCAATACAGTATGTGAAGAAAAGTATCATTTTTATAAAATGTTCCTCTTTAGCTATGTGTATATGACGATTAATTAGGAGATCAAGTACATCCATGTTATTTGCTTTATAATATCCAGAGGGTAAAAGATTTTGTTGTGATTGGTGCTATAAGAATAAACAAAAACACAAACACTTTGAATTAGATCTTCTGGCATGCCTTTAGGTTAGTGTGTGTTGGGTTTTGGGTTTTTTTAGTAATAATTATATTCAGAAAACATATTAGCAAGCATATTTTCATAACCCAGAGAATTACACTGCTTCAGCTTCTCATGCATGAGGAACTATTGTAGATGCACCTTAGCTGGTTTGTATTCACATGTGATGGTTTCATTAAATTAAATCACCCTAGAGAAAATCTTAAAATGTCTTTTTCACAGCACAAAAGGGATAAGAGTGTGGGAATTAGGTGGCATGTGACCAGCAGTAGCATCTTAATCGTTGGAGGGGAAGGCGGTCCTTGATCCAGTCAGAAAATGCACATACAACTGTCTGAAAAATCCCAGTGTTCCAAATGAGTTAAAGTATTACACCTGTCAATACTACACATATTTCTGCTGGTATCAAGGGCCCACTCAGGCTTCAAAAAGCCTTTGACAGGGTCTTAACCGTCTCTGAGCATTATCCAGTCATTACACAAAACAAAATTATGGTTGTGAACCATATTGATGTCCAAGTTAAGCTCCTATAGCTGTTTTACACAGATAGGGCAGAAGGCTCTGTTTTTTTTATAGTACCTTTCTTCTTGTACTCTTTTTGCCTTTAAAGAAGTCTCCAAACAGAGTTAAATTATTTTTTAAGTTGTATTTTTAAGCTAAGTGCATCTGAAGACACAATACCACTTCACACCAGAAGGTATATTACTTCAAATAGCCTCCCTCCCCCTCCCCATCTCACAGAATCAATAAAGTTGGAAAAGGCTTCTGAATCATCAAGTTCAACCTGTGGCTGAACCGAGTCAACCAGACCATTTCTTTAAACACCTCCAGGGACAGTGACACCACCACTTCCCTGGGACGTCATTCCAGTGTCTAATTATCCTTTCTGTGAAAAAATTCTTGCTCACATCCAACCTGAATCTCCCCTGGTGCAGCTTAAGACTGTGTCCTCTGGTCCTGTCACGTGTTACTTATGAGAAGAGGCTGACCCCACCTGGCTGCCCCCTCCTTTCAGGCAGCTGTAGAGTGATGAGGTCTCCCCTGAGCCTCCTTTTCTCCAGGCTAAACACCCCCAGCTCCCTCAGCTGCTCCTCACAGCACTTGTGCTCCAGACCCTTCACCAGATTCACTGTCCTTTACTTACTACATCATGCAGAAATTCACAAGCGTTTTGGGGTGTTTTGGTTTATCTAACTCCAAAAATGTACAAATTACACATTTACATATTTTTGCAGTGGACTCTTGTTATTGTAAAAGCTGTCTCCTTTCACAAGTCTTTAGCTGCTGCTTCATAACCTTTCCTCAATACTGTTTTTTGAAGAATGAGCATTACAGTACCATGTGCAGCCTTTGCCCTTTCCCCAGAAACCTTTTAATCTCCATGCAGGGAGAAAAATACACTGCCGTAAAAATCTTTGAATTTCATTCTCCCTAGAAATAGTACTTACCAACAGAGTGAAATTCAGTAAATGTGTGACTTATATTTATAGCTTAGTCATATGAGCTCTTGATATCTAACTTCAGGTTCAGTACTTTAAAGTGAAAGGACGAATCTATTTTTTACAACAAGTAAAGAAATTTGAATAGTGGGGAAATGTCCCTATTTATTTTCTAAATTCTTAAAACAGAAACTTCTGACATAATATTTTTTTCATTTCTGTTCTTAAAAAGAAGAGGAGGATGAAGTTAACAGTGAATCAGCAATGTCTGTCCCGAATAAATCTGATGAAGAAAAGGCAAATGATGTACGTCACCTATCTGCTTCCACAGAGAAGCCACCGTTGCCCAGGGACCCACTGTGTAGCCCCCAGTTGTCGGATTTTGGCCTTTCCCAGCGCACTTTCTCCAGGCCGTGGAGCGCGGTGAGAGCACAGCGCACACCGAGTGCGCGTCACCCGAAGGCAAGGAATGAGACCCCGCTGCACTTGCGAACGCCCTGCGCTTTGCCCAAAACGCCGAAATGTAAGCTAAAGATGGATGACTATGAGTGTGCAACAGCAAAACTCGAACACTTTGGCATCACTGAACATACCATGTGTATGAATGAAGATTATACGATGTCCCTTATTCATAAAACTTCTGAGACAATCAAAAAGTAAGTTACTGGGGTTCAGATTGTTTCTCTACTGAATTCTCTGTATTTCATTCTTGCTGTGTTAATTTCTTGCTCCTATTGCTTTTATCTTCAGGTGAGTGATTATTATCTCTCAGGTGCTGGGTCCCGTGTCATTTAACTCCCTACACATCTTTTCATGTACCCATTGTAGTGCCAGACGCTGACATGAAATGCATCTGCTGTGCTCCTTGCCTTGACTGCGCCATAAGAACCTTCCATACACAATGTATTTACAAAGAGTAAAACATAATGTCATCTGTCGTTATGAAGGCAAGGTTTTCCTTAACCAAAGGTTTGGGCCTGGGCTTGTCTGCCATAGGTATTGCACAGCCAGTGTAAAGGTTGCAGAAGCTTTATTAATATAAAGAGAAAACTGGTTGTAAAGCATTCAGTAAATTTATAGAAGCACTGTATTGTCTCTAACATAAGCCCCACCTTACAATTTATTCCTTTTGTTCCAGTCTTCTGTTGAAAAGACTTCTCTAGATTTTCATTGTTCTAATTATAAAGAAAAATAATTGCAGCAGTGAGGTCATGAGCATAGTTAATAGGTCATGTTTTTATAGTTAGTATTAGCAATATGTTCCATTTTAGAAGCTGACATTGCCTAACTATTTGATATGTAGAGAAATTGTTTGGAAAACAAGGATCATAGGCATGAAAACCACTTTGAAAATTCTACTGGTTCTACTCATTGTAAAAACTAAAATTCATATCGTTTCAACTGTCTCTAAGACTTTGAAGACAAAACTGACTTGAAAAGTTACTTTTTTATTTAACCCAAAGTTTGAGATGTGTTCTTCTAAGTAAAATATACTGCCTCATATACTGCCTATACTGTTTATTGGGGTTTTTTTTCAGCTTAAACATTTTGTAGAGAAGATCTAAACCTGGTTACATTAGTGAAGACTACTTTTTAAACATTTAAAATAATTTTCTTCAAAGACACGGATTTGTGTGTAGGTTAAATATGCTTCCACTTTTTGCCTAGTATCATCTCTTAAGTGCACATGCCATTATTTCACTCGAAAATCTTGGATATGAAAAGATAATTTTTAAAATTTCTGTTTCCAGAGTTATGGAATCGTTATTAAATAGCTTGTCACTTTGAAATCAGTAGATTTTCTTTTATAATAATTTTGGGATCTCTCCTTTTTAATAGTTATGTAATTACTAAAATTACTTCGGTCTGTAGTATTTGATTTAGATAAACAATGTTATTTAAACTTTAAAATTCAATTAAAAATCTTTTCGTGTTCACAAGACCCTTTTTAGTTTAAAAGCAGAAAATATTTCCTCTCCTCTTTAATTTCATAGGTAACAGGCAGTTCAGAATAAAACCCCCTAACACAGAATTGATCATCTGTGGCATCTGTCCTACCCTGGACTTCTGCTTTGGGTTTGGTTTTTTCTTAATGCCTTAGATTGAAATCTCAGTGTATTTGATAATTTGTGGTTGGACTGAACATTTGCATACCACAAATTGCAGTAGAATCACAGATGAAAAAACCTCTAAAAATTCATATTTGAGAAATCTAATTTTTTACTTGCATATTCATAAAATGAATATTAGAAAAGTGATTAGGTTGGCAATATTTCTTTAATTGTGACTTCTTCAAAATACTTGAGAGCTAATTGGGGATTTCGTTTTCAGTTTGGTTAAAAGAGGAGATAATAACGAAGAGAATTTGCCAGAAATGACAGTCAAGGAAATCATGGTTACTCCTGCATCAAAATCAAGTAAGAGAGCTGAGAATGGTAAGTTAAAATTCTGTGAAATTAATATATATAGGCATTTTTACAGATTGTGTATGCAAATGCATTGTAAACACAATGGTTAACTTAAATTATATTTCTGGTTAAATATAGTTAATTCAGGGCAACTCATTGTATGAGCAGTAATAACTAAAGAATGTTGATGGCTTCTAAGGGAAAGTTTCTTACTCCCTATAAATGTTTCCTCGTTCCTGTACTCATATCAAATGGAACTGTGCAGAAGAATTTAATAATTTTGTAACTGCATTTTATCCATATTTGAAATAAAAATACTGTTTTGCAAACTTAGTTTTTTTTTCCTGAGAATACCCATGGGATCTGTTCAAAGACAGGAAAGGAAGGAGCTAGCCAGAAAGTAATTTAGGACCTTCAAGAGTAATGCTAAAACTTCTTTGAGAAGAAGAATGGTTTATTTTAAAAATCTTGAGGCAAACATAGTGACAATTGTGTAAATGAGAAGTTAAAGCAATGCTGATTTAAGCTGGGCTTCTTCAGTTTTATTCAGTAGTGGGACTAGAATGACTGCTTTGCATTTGCTGCTTTTAAGGAATACTGTAATTTGGATGGATCAAGGAAAATATCAGCTACAAGGATACACAGTTTAAAAAAAATGAAATTTGAACTGTTAATAGTTATATATGTGTGTGTGTACATACATATTTTTAATTTTATTTCTCTCACGCTTGGTAGCAGCAGCTGACTGGATGGCTTCTCCTATGGTATTTGTGTTCTGTACTCCTGATGTGAAGGTCTCTTCCAAAACAAATAATACAGTATTATCAAGGTCACCAGAGACAAAGGAACTGCCTCTTCCCAGTAATACAGCAACACCACTGTGTCCAGATTTTCAAACAAGATGGCTAAAAGCAGAAGCAAAGGTAGTAAATAGCAATTATGTATACTTTCACATACCTTGCCATAAGCAGATTTTAAAATGTCAGTTTTGGTTTCTTTTCCAATATTATTTTTTTCTTATGTCACCATTAAAATTCTTTCTAATAGTAATTCTGTAAGAACATTTAGCAAATACTTTACCTAACATAAGTAAATTAACTGAAGGCATTTAATACTTCTTTTGCAGCAACAGGTAACACCAGGGGGGAAGATCGAATCAGTGACAAAGAATGATGCAAAAGATACACCAAACAAAGAAGAAAAGATTCCTTTTGCTGCAAGCTCTCATGAGTATCTTAAACATTCTAGGGATCCTTCCCCTCCCAAACTGGAAGATTATGACCATTTACTCAATACTCCTCCACCTCCAGAAATAACAAGGATACCAGATGATGTTCTAAAGGTTAGCTAATATGCTTTTTTTCCCTAACTGATTTTAGTATCAAAATACTAGAATTAAAAGGGCCTAGTTGTCTCTGCAATCCATCGGGTTTGAGTTCTTACGTAATTTTTATTCCTGTTTAATGTTTCCTATAGATGCTTTCCCAATATAATCATAAGGTAGATGCCTCTTCTAAAGCCAGAGCAATGGAGAACAAGGCAGGAAGTAGTACAAGATATGAAAGTGATTCCACTCATTACTGCAACAAAGAGAACAGGTATGATTACATTTTACGAATTTGGTTAAGTAATTTAATTTGTAGGAGATACAAAGAGGCTTTAATACACTTTGAAATTCATGTAGCTGCTTGCTCTTCAACTATCAAAACGGCTCTTATTTCTGTGACTAAACTGAGTTTTGGCATGGTATATGACTGACTACCTGTTTGTGAAGAACAAATATAGCTGATCGTGTGTTTGGATCCTCCCAAATAAAATAAGAAAAAAAGGGGGGGAGAAGGCAGATTTTTACTGTATGTTTATCTGTAGGTATGCTTTACTTTGTGGCAATCAAAGCACCAGTGAATGCTTTCTGAGTAAATTTAGGCAATAAAATGAAAGAATTTGGTGAAAAGTATCTGAGTGAGAATTGATTTCACACTTGTTTTGGTAAAGACGAAATTCTTTTAATAGAAAGCTACAATAAGTATGAGTAATCTTAGAACAATTGAATTAACAATTAGAACAATTAATTTATAGTTTTATAAATAACACCATCAATTTGACTATAAAAAAACTTTTATGACAATTTTATCAAAGTGTACATATTCCTGATTCAATGTAATATCTATTATGCATGTTGATTGTCTGTAGAGATTATTTAAATAGGTACAAAAAACACATAAGGAGCAACAACCCAGAGTGAGACTGATAAAAGTTGGTTTCTTACTGTACTGGGGAGTTGGAATCCATTTGAGTAATCTCACTTTAGCTGACCCTTCTTTTATTGTTGTCAAGATAAAAAAGACAAGTTCGCAATATTTCTGTCTTCTGCTAATCCAAAATACAATTTAAATAAGCTCATGAACACATCTGGGTATATTTTCAGAGGATATCGTGGAGTTTTCAAGACAAACATCTGAAATCAAACTGAAGACTGTTGAAACTCTCACGTTCATGGATCTTATCACAAAATCATAACAAGTTCAAAAAGCAAAAGGAAATACTGGTGGGAAGAAAGAGATATACCGAGAAAAGGCTTTTTTAATGGAGTAATGGAGAAAAATTCTTTATCCATTATGTGGATAAACTTGTTTGAGCTAACACCTTGTGCTTAATTTTCTACTGACATTATTGGCGAAATGTGTTGAGAGGTTTTAAATATACTGCACTTCAAAGAGGAATGGACGTGCATGTACAGGGTGGTACTTCAGTTGTTGTGTAGGATTGCATTGGCAGTAGGCTGTCAAGAGTGCAGTTAGGCTGTAATAAAAGAAAAGTCCAGTATATTGCTTTAAAAAGTGGCTCTCTCTGGCCGGTCTGGTGACTCTACGTTGTTTCAGGGCTGAGGCTGAAGTCTGGTACTTCAACAGTATTTGGTATCTTCAACAGAAACAAGTAAATTTTTTTGTATTAGAAGAATAACTCCTGCTTTACTGTTTAAAGCACCTCTGAGGTTTTAGTCCTTTCTACAGTGCTAAGATGTGTCAGCACGTTCCTGCATCAGACCGACTGTTATTTCTCTGGTAGACAGGCATTTCCCATGCATCTTCTTTCTTTATACATCAACATAGTATTAGGTGCCATGCATCTGGTTTCTTTGTAGCCCTAGAGGGTGACTCTGGCTCTACTGTGAACCATTTCGAAACGTGCCATTGTTACTGGTTATGTGTATCTTCAGCTGCTTGGAAGAATTTGCTGGCAGGCCTGTGAGTGATTGCTGCTGCCATGTGTATTCTGTTCAGTACTGGTGACACTTCTGAATGTGCACATCTAACCCTGTACTAGCTAACCAAGCTGAAGAACTCAGAGCTGTTTGGCACTCTTTTGGTAGTCATAGCAATTAGAATTTTTTCCTATCAGCACTTTTATTGTTTTCCACTAGAAAAGCCAGTTCCATATCCTTGTTTGGAGCCAATTTGCTGTTTCCAGCGTCAGCTATTCCTCTAAGTGACTCCAGAACTGTTCTTACCATTCGTCTTCTAGTTGATGACTGAAATTCTGCCATTTATGAGGACAAACATGTAGCATATGAGAAGGGAGAGACTGTCCCAGGAGATTGGGATAAGTGGATGCTTTTCTGAACTCAGCTCCACATTTTTTTTATGTCTTCAGAATACGCAAACATCTAGAGATGTCCACAAGTATTTCTTCATTTGCTTAGACTTGTCCTGGTTAAATCTTAACAAGTAAAGGCGCCTTTTTCCTTCTATTACAGTCATTTTCCAGGATAAGTGTACATCAAATTAATTGGAAAAGGGGATTTTCTACTAGCTCGGACCTGAGCACCTTGTCATTGAAAATGCTGGTTTCTGTTTAAAAGTATGTATGTATTGATGTGTCAGTCTGTGAACTTAATTAACACTTTTGGATACTAAATAAATCTGTCTCCAATGCCTGGCATCTGCTGTAACACTAATTTGTTCTACCCATCCTCTTCAGAGAGCAAGGGCCAAACCAGCCTCCAGCTTCTTCGTAGATTGCAGCAACGTGGTGGGGTGAATGCTGGTTCTGGAATTTCATGGCCTGGAAAAGGTAGAAAGTATTCTTGCTGCAGAGCAAGAGGGTTTCAACTAGGCAGATTTACCAGCACTAAACAGAGGGATTTCACAGCCTGCAGTCTCACTCTGTAGCACTTGATGACTACTTTCTTGCCCTGAAGCAAGCCAGATACCCTTTAACATGAAATGGAACAAGCAGCACTACTGTCCCAGACCTCACTGTATTCCCCCTGCTTTCAACAATGAAATTCACAAAAGGGCTTAGAGAAGTCTGTTAAACTTGAGAACAACTCAGCACTCCACTATGCTTTCCTTCATTATGGAGGAAAGCACTTTGTGAAGCTGTACCTCGCAGTGCTGGGGTTCTCACTGCAAAGCACTTATCAATAGGCAATCAAAATTATATATTTTCTGCTACATATTCTAGACACACACATTTAGAGAGCTAGGGAATTACAGCTTGGAAATTCTTTTCAGGCCTGGATTTCTCCTGACTCTCAGGTCCCTTCCCAGGCTGACAAGCTGACTATAGCTTCAGTTAAGGGAGGGAGTCTCCCAGGGTGATAACTTGGTGAAAAACAGAGTGGAATTCATAATAAAGATAAACACCTGGTGTCTTTCCCATGGGATACATCCTGAGGTACTGTCCCAAGGATGTTTTTCCCAGTTGTCCAACGAACTGCTGTCCTGTCCTAGCTGCACATAACACACTTTAAATACAGGATGTCCATACAATAATATTTTGGCCTTTTTTCCCCAAAGAGATCCGTGTGTGTTGCTGTCTTTTCTCTCTCTTTGCGGTGCAGTAACCACACATATCATTAACTAATATGAAAGGGATTAAATTAATGTTTTGAGACAAAAATTATCTTCAATATGACAATTGAAGCCTTAAAATCTTCTGGTCTACTCAAGAAATTGTGACAAGATACAGGGATTAGACTTTTTGGAATCAAGAAATTAAGTTGTATGTGTTGGTTTTTGTTTTTCTTGCCTGCAATATTACTTTAATACACATAATATTGTTATTTGTATTATTTTTTTATAGGCAAAGCATTGCTCTGAGGTAGATATAATTATGGCAGCAAAGCAAAAACTAGTTTTAGTTTGCCATACTTCACCTTTGAAATTCTTTTAGGTTTCAGGATGTCCTAAACAGTAGTTTGAGTAATGGGAGTGAGGAGGGGAAATGACAAGTGAAAGTGTAAGCACTGAAACACGGGCATCTCCTTCTCTGCAATCCTGTGCAATCTAGTGTAGCATGGGGGGTGGGACAGGTGGCTGTGTGGCTTTCTGATACACTGAAATAACCAAGGATGTAGCCATGGGACTGGAGAAGAGTAAAATTCCTCTTAAGCCAGTGCTGCTGGAGAAAGGCTAAAAAATTAAAAGTTAATAACATGTCAAAGTGGGAATGATGCAAAAGAACTTAAATTTTACATGTTGGTTTGTTGTGGGGTGAATCTCTTCAACAGCATCGGCCTGTCAGGAAGTGCAGTTTGGATGAACAGTAGCTACGTAAGTAACAAACACACTGGTTATGTAAGAGACAGTCATCACCTGAAAACAAGCAAAATTGCCACAGTATGGTTTTGTGTTGTGCTTTATTTAGTTTAACTGGGGGCTGCTTCCACTAGAGGCTGTTTCACCAATTCCCGTGCACAGAATCTAGAGGTTGTACAGTTTTACAGTGGTTTTCTTCATTTGCCAACAGTGGAAGGCTAATTATTTTTGCTTTCTCTTCTAGTTTGTCCTTCCCAACAGTAATCTCAAGCTCAGTTTTTGCCCATGTGAGTGCTGGATCAGATGTAAGGAAAGGGTGAGAAGGGGATCACAGCTCCTAGCAGTGCCTGCTCTCAGAAAAGATTGAACCCAGCATAAAATTGCTTTTCAGTACTTAAAAATATCTGGGAAGTAACCAAAAAAGCATAGCCTTTACTTTTGCTTCACTTGCTGTGGTTCTTAATATTTTTTTCTCTTTTTTAATTTTTAAATATATCAAATGTGTCAGCTAACAGAAGCTTCTCCCCTTAATCTCATTTATTGTCAAAGGAGCATATCAATTGTTCTGCCCAGGAAACCCCTTACTAAGGTGGTAAGTGATTTCTTATCTGGGAAATACTTTGCCTGAGGTTGAACACAATTACAGATCTCTCAGTGAAATTAAACTTCCCAGATGGTTATCAAAGGGATAATTGACAAGCATTACTTCTAGTGCCTCCCATTGTGCTTTTATTGATGATTTTATTAACCACTGACTGGAGCAATAATTAGAGTCCAGGCTTCCTTATTTTTTAAAGCACCATGGATGCTTTAAATTTCCTGTAAAATGTTGTATTTGCTTTGCTCCTTTTTGTCGCTATTCAAATGTTCCACACTCGCGGTGATTGCACATGCTCCATCAACAGCTGTAGCTGGTGTTGGATCTGCCTTCTATTTTGGGAGTACCTTGTTGCTCCTCATGGGACAATAATACAGATATTGTGGTGTGTATAAGGAGCAAAGACAATATCCAGTGGCCACAGTTAGGAATCACAAATGTGTTAGTCCAAAGAGGCACAATTTTCTGCCAGGAAGACATTGTCTGACGCTGCCTGGATCAATTTAAATGTAAAACTTTATGCTGTTCTTGCGCTAATACCTACTTTTGCAAGGGGGCAGTTGACATCATAGCAGGGAGCTGACCAGATCCAGAAATTCCTTTGAACTTGTCTTGCCTAACTTAAGTTGAAGAGTTCTCAGAAAAAGTAGCACAAATGTGTCTACATGGGAAATGGTCCATGGAATAAGGTGCTCTGTCACACAGGCATTTATCCAAGCTAAGCATAGTTTGCAGAATACCCAGCAGGAAGGTGTTCAGACACTTCCATAATTTTTGGCATAATGTATTCCTGGCTTAAAGCCCTGGGGTTATATTCTCTAATGATTGCTTACAAAATTGTTGTAAACCAATCTAAGGCCTTCTGCATGTTCCCACCTTTCCTCCCCCAGCTGCAGGTCCCATGCTGTAGATTGTCAGTTGCATCACAGCGGTTGTGGCTGCAGGGAAATCCATTCCTCCTTGCCCAACCACCAGGAGCTAATTACTGTTTTCCAGGATTAAATTGTTCAGGGACTGTGCACTGACCCAAATCACTGCCTGCCTGCAAAGGCATTGACAGTTGTTGAGGCATGAGAAGGGAAAGGTTGGGCGTGGGAGCCACGACATCCTCCTTCCCTGGCTGGGTGAATCCTATCCTGTCTGTCCAGCTGCCTTGGTAAGGTGCCTAAGGCTGTTCCTCCATAACCACTTCAGTGGCAGCTGAAGAAATTCCTCCAGTTCACCACAGCACCCAAAACTCCTCACAAACTCCCCTTCCCCCTCCCTGCTTAGGTGGCTGTCCATGAATCAGACTGGAGAAAAGAGAGCTGCTAGGACCAACTTGACACTTGGAAGAGGGCCCTATCCATAGGTGCAGAGAGGTGTGGTTTGTTCCTGGCCATGTATGCTGCTGTGGCTGGTGGGACCTATTTTCAAACCTTTAGTCCTTCTATAAGCATGTGCTTCCTTTCTCCTTTTCTAGCATAAGCCTCCGGCTCTCCAGAGCAGTTGTTAAGGCAAAGGCAGCAGGAGTGGGACACTTTGCCAGCAGACCCCAACCTGGATTCTACACTGCCCCAACTGAGCAGGCACTTGGGAGTCAGGGACTGCTGTGTGCCTGGTGCTCTTCCTCAGACACCCCAGCCTTTAGGCAGTTAGGACCTTGCCCCAGTATGCCAGCCAGGCACCTCCTCACCACTGACAGGTGTTTGTGGCCAGGTGCACAACACCACCTGTGTGTTTTGCAAGGCACATTCCTCAGGGGGAACTGATACTCTTTTTTTTTTTTTTTTTAACCCATCTGAGTCACAAAAAGTCCAGACACCAGGGCTTAGACAACAGCACATAATTGGATTGCTTTGATTTTGGCAGGTTGAATCTTAGCTGTTGCATTACTTATAGTGCTGTTCTTTGAACACTACCCTGCCATCATTCACCTGCTCTGACACAATAGGATTTCAGAAACCTCCTCGTTTTCCCATGCTTTCCATTGCAAAAGTGAGAACTTGCTGATAATGCTTAATATGTTCCTGCTGCATCTCAGCTGTTTCTGCTTTTGACCAGAGCAGTAAATTAAAATTTAAGTCTCCACAACTGCTCCAGTCCTCCATGAAGAAAGGACTATATCTGGTGCTGCCTAGATTATTGAAACAAGTGTGTGAGTTGTCCTCAGTCTTTAAACTAAGGACAGAATTAACCCCCACACCAGGACTTCTCCCAAAAATGTTGCAGAACTTATATCAGGCTTGTGCTACCACTGCAAGAAAGGAGTACATACACTTCTATGTAACTGTACTGGAGGGATGATGAAATCAGAAGGCGACTTTGAAAACTTAATTAAGGCCTGAGCATGTGGAAAACAATCTTTTTTCCTCTCCCTGTTAACTGAAAGCCTGGCTAATAATCAACAGTGGCAGCAATATTTATGTAAGGTGTAACAAGGTAATGATCTGGAGGTTCTTAGTGAGGAAAAAAAAAATAGCATTTTGGCTATTTTTAAAATGGCAAAACATTTTTTTTAAACCTTCTTTTCTGTCTATTAGATTGAAAAAAATAAACATTGATTTAGGTGCATAAAATGAGGGGGGGGAAATTAGAACTAAGAGTCAAGTTTGTTTGGGGAAGCACAGCAGAAAGTCCTTCATGACAAGCCAAACCTAGACAGACAGGAAAGACACACCAGAAGGGACACAGAAAGAAGAAGAAGCCTCATCTATGGGATCAGGGCAGCCGCCAGTAGGTGCTACTGAGGGTAAAAAAGAAATTAGGGGAAGTTACCTTGATTCTGCAGCTGGGTCTATTTGACTGTGCTGCACCCCACTGGCAGGATGTGGAATGCTTCTGGCCCTGCCAGGGAGCCCAGCTCATCGGGCTTGCTGCTGCAGCCAGAGCCAGCGAACACAAGCTGGAGACCTGCGGGAGTGATCTGAATGTTTGTCACTGGTTAGAGACAGAGAAAAATGGCCCTCTGAGAAAGGGAGGAGAGACTTCTCATTGTCTGAGAGACAGGGAGAAGAGAGAGAAGGCGGGTGAGGGTAGGTGTGGTATCCCTGGCAGGATATGGGCAGGAGGCAAGAGCTGTCTGGGCTGCTGGCAGGGGAGGGATTACCTCTGAGAAGTGTCAAAAGTCAGGAAACCTTTTCTGGAGAGCTGTCATCCTAGTTCTTTGCCTTACTCAGCTGGAAGATAAAAAACCTTTGAGGAATGGTTGCTATTGACACTGTAAATATGTAACAGAGTTGTATCTCTTAGGCCTTCAAGGATCCAAAATAGAAAAAGAAAAATATCTCGTCCAGCTGCCTTGATGAGGAACAAAAATTCCTCATCAAATTGCTGCCTACAAAGCAAATCCTGCGGATTGACGAATCTGGATGCAGTGTTGTCTACACCACTTCCTGATGGGATTGTTCAGTCGATGACCATGTTTTAATTTCCCCAAACCACACTGCTCTACATATTTTGCTCTTTTTAGGGACTGACATTCCTCCTCAACTTTTCTAGTGGCTTTCAGAGACAAACAGAACCAGCTTACTGTGACTGAATTCCTTCCTGTCCACTAGGAGCTCAGCTGTGACAGCTTCCACGTTCCTTTCACCTCTTGCCACAGCTGGGTGGTTGTACCCTGGTGCTGTCTGCTTCCACAGCTGCTGCCATCAGCTTGGATCGCCTGCTGATATGTATGATGTAGGAAACCCCTAACCTGAACTACATTCTTCTCTTAAGTGTCTTTTCCCATAAGCTCTGCACTTCTGCATTACCTTTCTGTGTGATTTGAGGGCAAGAGATCCCAAGAGATGTTTATCTTGAAACAGCTGGGGAAGAGATCAGCTGAGATTTATACATTCATGGCAGTCAAGGCAAGGTAAACTCCTCAACCAAACAAGCTGAAAGGAAGTATTTCCTACTGAAGGCAGCTCATTTCATGTTCATTTTCATTTGCCATTTTGCTTCATGGGCCACCACATATAAAGGCAGTAAATGTTTTTTCTCTGCCAGCTGGGCAGGCACCAGCATTCCCTGGCCATGTCTCCCATTCCAGCAGCAAAGTCAAACTGCGTCCCAGAGCAGCTGAGTCACAGACACATGCTCAGTTACTGCTGTTGCCTTTTATAGTGACTACATTTAAGAACTATCCTTAAATGTAATTAAAGCAAAAACCAGGACACAAAACTGAGGAAATGCCCATATTCCTGTGTACTTCGAATGGCAGGTTTGTCCTTCTCTTTGGTGGGAGCTGTGCAATTCTGTAATTATATGCTTGTTACTCACCATGCGCATTTTGCAGGACAGATGATACCCTGGGGCAATCAGTGAGACTACTTAGCAGTGGTCTTTGCTTTTCTGTCTGTCCAGGTCTGTCAGGTGTCCCCAACCTGAGCAAGCCTGTCCCTAGTAATACAAGTCCCTGAGCTGCTCCCACATGTGAGTTTCTCACAGCAGCAGTATTTGGAGCACCACTGCCTCACACCAGAGGTGACTGCGCCACAAAAAAAAATCCCACCCATATCAACTCTGGCAACAATAAATCAGCCCCACTGACACTTCCAGGTTCAGTCCTTTATAAGCAGAATTTTTAAGTGTCTTTTCTTCAAAAAAAGGTGGGGAGCACTTTTCAGTCTTAGGGGAGAAGTGACTCATGTAGGTGATCCTGTGAATGAGAGCCATTCCTGGAGGCTGAAATTGCAACTCCCTAACTTAGAACCCAGAGAACATGGACAGAAGAGCCATGGGCAGAATTCCCTCAGGCTATACTGAACCAAGGGACGCCTGAGAGAAGGAAAAAAATACATCTATAGATCCCAGCTCACGGCACAAAGTGTACCTTGTCCTCAGCAGACAGGAACATTTACTTCAGTCCTAGCCTTTGTTCAGGCCTTAGGAGAGGAAGGTGGAGATTCTAATGAGCGGTTACTGCTTCTACTCCTGCCCTCGCCTTGCTCTGAGCACACAGGGGCTAAGGTGCAGAAACGAAGCACCTGGTCCTGCCTAGACCAGCTGGATGCTCCCAGTCAGCCAAGGACAGCTGGACTCAGCTGGAAGAGGCACCTGCACATCTCAGCATCTCCCCCTGCAGTGACAGAGGGAGTCAAGCTGGCAAGCACTAAGCTAAGTCCCGCCCTGCGCCACTTTGCTGAGACATAGGTCACCCCTTCTTCGTCCTGCTCCTTAAGGAGCAACCAGGCAACACCACACACACATCAGTCTTCCAGTTGCCCATGGACAACTGAGATCCCTGAGCTACCCCTTCCTCCATTTTCAGATTCTAGAAGCTGACTGCTAAACACCCTCAACATACACCAGCACCATTAGTAACTTCTCATACAGAGCAGCCTCAACCATTGATACACCACTAAACAGTCAAAAGATTAATAACATCAGTTTTTATTCCAAACAAGAACTACAGAACACCATAATCCTCCTGGTCTTATATCACAGAAGTCTTTAAAACACTGGACATACTAACTTACCATTCAAACTATAACAATCAGGGACAAGACGATGGAGCTGCTGAAGGAGTTTCTTCTAAACAAACTAAAGTTAATGTTTAAGAGTTAACTTTCTTCTACAATGCTCAGCTTTGTCTTCAGATGCTTAGCAACAAAAGCAAAAAAATAAGCCTGCTTTAGAACAGCAAGTAGGAATAAACAGAATATGTAATCGTACAAAGAGAAGCAAGACTTTAGTAAGGTCTCATGCGGCTTGATGGGGGTGGTGCACGATTTGGAGGAGTAATTGCTATATCCAAGTAGTCTCCTATCTGGAATTTCTGAGACTGCAATGTCATGGAATCATCTGTGCCCTTCCTGCCCGACATGGTGCTGCCGATCTCCTTCACCCTGTGAGTAGCAGAGGAAAGGCAAGTTAGTTATCAGTGGCCAATCTCTCCAGATGTGCAAAACAGGAACTGCACTGGCTCGTAACTCCCTTCCCATGCCACTCCCTGCACACATGTGGCTGTGTACTCAAAACGCTGGGGTTTTTCTCTGCAGTCCTAGGTGCACCAAGAAAAGCTACACCAAATGCTCTGACAGCACAGAGGAGCCTTCTACCCTATTATGTTAAATACTGGTGAGAACTCCTTACCCCCTGCCATACAGACAAAGCACAAGACCCCACCGGATTCCAAAGCAGGGTACATCCACTGGATGCTGACAAAGATTAGTTCATGCCATTTTGCAAGACAAACACCTGCAATAAGATCACTGCTGTAACTCAGGTGCAAGACCTACCAGGAAAAAAGCATTATCTCAAGTTGGAGGACCATGTTCCTCTTGCCAATACAGCAACCAAAGCCTTCAGGCACATAGGCTCATAGGAATACATTGATAGGGATGGTCACCAAACCAATTTAGAGGCTGTAGCAGTCATCACAGAGACCTTCGGGAGTTTGGTATGTGGGTTCTGAACTTTAAATCAGTGTTAATGAAGAATAATTTACTGTTCTGGTGCTCAAAGTATTCTATTAACTCAGAAAAGAAATGCCATTTACCTATAGCCAGGCCTCTTGAGATCTGTAAAAACAATTGCAAAGTTGAAATGTGTGCCCTTCTTCCGTGCTTCCGGGTAAACTTCTTTCACTAAGCTGGTCAGCTCTTTCAGAGTTGCATCCATCCTAGATTAAACAAACAAAACAAAGTGTTTCACACTCTCAATGGAACATTAAAAAAAGCTTCCCAAAACGTTTAAGATGGAATCGATATATTGCTACAACTTCAGCATATGTTTCTTTGCCTTGGCATAGCCTATGTCCAGTTATTGATTGTAACACCTGAGAGAAGTCACCCCTTACTGCACACTGGAGGCAACATGCTCTAGTGCAAATGTGTCTAATTCCCTGCAATATTCAGATTAATCTCTTCATCTCTGTATGCATTTCAACATCTCCATTTCCAGGTCTCTCTGAAGAGTTACCATTTAAAAAGCAGGAGCCTTTTTTATTTAAATACATTTATACAAGGTGCAGTGTAAGAGTTTCCTCACCTAAGCTTACATCTGTATTAAAATAAGCTTACTATTAGAGGAAAAGCAAGAAAAGCAGAAAAATAAAATAGCTATCCATTTCTGCCCTAGCAGGCAGCACTCCTTTACCCAGCCTTCAACCACAACAGGGCTGAATCTCATGTCTAGAATTTCAAGAACAAAAGTACTCAGTCATCGCAAATAAAGTGTCTCTAATTATACAGACTGTGCACTCACTCCAACCTTCAGGCAACCAAGAAGCAGTGTGTTGACAGACAATGCCCACTCTGACTTCTGCAGATGGGAAACAACTCAGACACCACCAACAGCCTGGACAGAGTCCATAAATCCCACTTAGAAGTAAATTACAATTGCATGCTTTGGTAGCCACAAAAATTGATTTATTCAACTGCACAACATATAGAGTTACAACTCTGGCAAACATCCTAAGGGTTTAAAAAGCAGAATAGTCCCTTTTCAAAGGCATTCTTCAAAATACTACAAACAAAACCTAACATGTTTGCAATGCAGACTAAGGCAGTTCTTCAAAATAAATGTGACAGTGATAAAAAGTAGCTCTGGTTAAAGCACTGCTACCTGACCATGCAAAAAAAGAAACCTTATTCCACTCTCAGAAGGGTCGGAGTTAAACTACCAAACCGTTCACACAACATTTCAAGCCTTCTGGGACAACTACTACTGGATAAACGGGGCTGGTGGAACAAAAGATACGCATTAAAGGAGAACCTCTACGTTGAGTAGATGTGTTGTGACAACCATGCCACATCACAAGCCACCGACTGCATGCAGCAGCAACTGGGTACTTCAGCCACACTAAGTCCCAGGGGCTGAGCGCCCATTGCTGCGCACACCTGTGCTTCCAGAGATGCCCTCTCAGCTGCCAGGGCACAACCAGAACCGCTCCATACCAGCGGCGGCGAAAACTCCCCGGCGTGTCCTGCCCCGATCGGAGCCTGCACAACTCCCTAGGGCCCCTGGGGCCCCGGCGAGGCTCCGCGCCATGGCCAGGCGCAGAGGAGGTGTCACTCACCAGGTGTAGATCTGCAGCTCGCTGGAAGGCACGTTGCCGCGGGAGAACTCGTCCATGCGGTGGTGCCGCCCATTGTTGGTAGTGAAGACGCGAAGCAGCAGCGGGCACGTCTGCGGAGTGAGGCAGGGGTGAGAATGAGGATGGGGATGGGAGCGAGGAGCCGCAGGGGTGCGGATTAAGATGAGGGGCCGTTAGCCACGCCCCCCCCATCCGCCGGAGGCCTCACGTCGTCACTAGGCGCTCACTACTCCCCCCACCCCCGCTGTCCGCCCTGGAGCGGCCTGCGAAGCGGCGCAGCACCAGCACCCCGCACTCTGGACACCTTCTCGCGGTCGATTGGCTTCTCCGGCTCCTTCTTGATCTCCTCCTGCGTCACCCGCGACTCCACCGCCATCTTGCCGCGCCGCTCCCGGATGTCGCGCCGCGCACCGCCCATCTCGCGAGAGCAGGGGCGGGGGCGGCCCCGGCGGGGCTCCTCCCCCAGGCCTGAGGCGCCGCCCTTCCCTCAGGGAGCCGCGGGGCTCAGGTAGGGAAGCGCTGTTCAGCCCGCCGCTGTGAGTAGCAGCAGGGTGAAATGAACTAGAGGGAAAGCTACTTAGAATCTGGTTTCCCTTAATCTTATATTCAGGGAAAGGTCAAATGCGTACGCTTCCCGTTTACGTTTTTTCTTTTTCCCGTAAGTGGAATCTTTTATTAGGTTAAATTTGAGTCTGCAGTTGTGTCTTAAAAAATAAGCGGAAATATAGAATATCTAAAAAAGGATACAAAATACGTGGTTTTGTGATAGCTTTTTTAAATGTCGAGGGTTGCTTGTTACTCAAAGCTGTGGGAGGAGAGGGACTCAGTTGTTTTCACACAATTTACAAGTGTAATTTGCTTGGATTATTTGCTCTGAATTTCTCATTTTGAGAGTAAAACAAAATTAAGTTTCTCTGTAAAATTAAGCAGAACCGTGCTTTCAGGTGCAAAACAATCACATATGAGGGACTCAGAGCTTTGCTGAGGCTGGAAGGGAGCTCTGGAGGAGGCTGCCCATTCCAAAGCCCTGCTCGAAGCAGGATCAGCAAGGGCTGCCTGGATTCGGAGTGTGCCCGAGGACGGAGATCTCTGGGCAACCTGCTCAGTCGCCTTTACAGTTAAACAAAGAGAGAGAGAGAAAAAAAAAAAAAAAGTACATTTCTTGTGTTAGTTTGTGCCCTTTACCTCTGGTTCTGTGGCGGGGCATCGCTGAGAAGCCTGGCTGTCAGTCTTTGCTCCTGCCCGCCGAGTATTCCCACACAGTGAGCCGTCTCTGTGAGCAGTCCCAGCTCCCTCAGCCTGTCCTCATACCACACATCCTCCCCTCCCTCAAACACCCCGTTAAGCCGTGTTTGATGCTCTGTTACTGCGGCGTGCCTGCACTCCTCACACAATTCCCTGTTGGTGCTTGCAGCAGAGAGCAGCCTGTGTGCCACCGGAGCTGTGCCTCACGGTCCCCGCTGTGCAGTGCACGTCTCGGAGTCAAGGGGCTCAGGATGCCTTTGGGCTGCTGTCCCGAGTGTAAGCCTAGCACCAGAAGTAAGTATTCTAAGTTCTGCACCATGCAAAAAGCAGGTGCTTTTTAAGGTGGTGTAAGTGGTGAAGTACCTGTGCTCTAAGGGTGATGTGGTTTGATTTCACTCTTCCAAACACTGTAGATGTGTTTCAAAGGTATCATTTATTGAAAAAAATATTTAGGGGAGAAAAGATTCTAAAATATAAAGGGGGATAAAAAGTATTAAAATATATTCACTTGTTATGTTTCTGTGTATATCATAAAGAAGAAAAAGGGTTATGAGTTCATACTACCAAAATAAAAACCACAACACACGTCTTGCATTTCACTCTAATATAACCAACAGTATTTGGTTTAAAATGTTGATTTATGGCTCACCAAATACAAGATGAGTGAACCAGTAATCTACTACAGCTGACCTTCAGTTTTTATTAACTTCCTTTTGTAGTAGTCTGGATAGTGTTGTAGAGTTTTTAATCTACATTAAGTTACAGCATATCTTCATTTTGTTACCATAGGCAATGACTCAGCCTTGCCACCATTTGTGGAATTTGATTTCCCAGGAAACAATACAGTTTATCACTCTGCTAAAATTAATTATATCTGCCATGATAATACGCACTTCGGGCTCAGTGTGTGAGCTACCATTTCTGAAACAAAGGAATTTATGTCAAGTATTTTAAGGGAACAGCTGTAACAAATAAAGCACAATTCTGTTACGAATCTGAGTAGTCCCTTCTGCTAGAACTTTTGGAGTACATTATTTATATGAAAAATTACTTTAGTGGGCTTGAGTTTTAAGTAAATTAAAGCATTAATTAATTTATTATGCATTAACTGTATCCACAAAATTTATTTTTAATCTAAAATCTTAGATTTTTAGTCACATGTTTGGAAGCAAATGTTGAAAATTATTTCGAAATAGAAATGCAAATGCAGTGATGTGGCTGCAGGGTGCAGGTTTTATTTGGGATAGGGCTGTCTGGTTAAACAAAGCGTTACACCATAAGCTGGGTTCCCACAGGTTTAGGCTGAGATCTCTCGTGTACTGGAGTCGGTCCAACTCCTTGCTTTTGCCAGACGAGGGGGATTTAGCTCCCGCTGCTTGTCCTTAGTCACGTGACGGGTTTTTCCCTCCCTTCTGCCAGGCATGAGTCTCACTAGATATTTCCAAAAAGTTCCCCAATTTAAGACAAAATTATCTAGTGGGGACTGGTTCTCTGTCAGTTAATTTCACTGGACACTTTCTAAACTGATTCCACGAATGCCAGACCTGGTACAAGGCGACTGGTGGGAAGTGCATGTCCAGGAGCAGCTGGGAGGTAAAGGGAGAGAATTAGGACTGGAGTAGGTGTGTCCCTTCAGTGGTAGCGGGATGGTTGATTGCTTCACCCTCCCTTCTTTAGGTTTTGGGGACCAAGAGGTCTCCTCTGCTTATTCAGGGACATTGTGTGCCGTGCAAAAAATGTCTCTACATGCAAACACATATACATATATATCTATATATAGGATATGGAAAGATCCTCGCCGAGGTAGAGGCAGGGTAAGACTGCTTAGGAGCAAGTTTCTAGCCCTTGTTGTTGTGAAGGCCCAGAATATGACTTGAACTTTTCCAGCTGTGAATGCCCGTAGAGCAGGAGACAAGTGGTTTGGAAGTGTGAATTGCCCCTTTTAGTATTGTTATTGAATATTCTTAAGGAAGTGGTTATTTAAATAGCAAACTGTGAATTGTTTGTTGGGGCATGGAGGACAGGCATGAATGGGGTGACGAGTGGTTGCCATAAGGATATGGGACCGGGCAAAGCTGCCACAGCCCTTTAGAGAGGAGCACTGTGGGTCAAGGAGCCCATTGGCCTACAAAACACTCTGAGTAACTTGGGACTGAGAGGGAAAAACAAGAGGAGCAGTTGGTATGGGGTAACTTAAAACTTTCTAAGCAGAACCGAAGGATTGTAGCAAATAACAAATGTTGTAGGGAAGATATAGAAAGTAACAGCGTAGCTGTGCCTGGGATATCAACCAGGGAGGCAATCCTACCAGGAACTAGAAAAATTGTAGCATGGCCAGAATAAGGAACTCCAAACATTTCAGATCCATGAGTGTATCGAATCTGAGTTCAAGGAAGCTGAATGAGCCTCCGCAGCATACTACTTCCAGGTTCCAAAGGCTCCCAGGACTTCTGGCTTATTAGACGTGTTTCTGAGTTCTTTGTGACCAGGACTACATACATACATACATACATACATACATACATACATACATACAGCCCCTTAATTTTTCTTGGTTGTATGTGTATACCATAAAGCCTGTTTGATAGAAGACTTGGTCTTTGTCTTGATTGTGGAAAGTTCAGCTACCCTATCCTGGCAACAGCACAATCAACTTTCAAACATCTTTACAATTCATGGAGAGAGCAAAGTCTCAAATTTGATGGTGCTTCTACTGCAAACCAGCTTTAACTGGTCAAGGAAGAACACAAGCACAACTTCTTTGCAAAATGCAAACACAAATGAATTTCCTACATTTTATGTCATGGTGATATCATGGGTGTGTTTTTATGTTCAGCATGCTCTGTGTAATTTCACTACAGTGTTTTAATTTCCTGTGTTTTGTACCAAACTTAGTGTGAATTCCAAGAAGCCTATAGTGCTACTAGACAATTACACTATTTTCATATAAACTTCAGTTTCTGTTCCCTCTTTTGAATGTAGATGATTTGGGCTCACAAAATGCACCCTAACTCTTGTGCTTTCATGGTCCTATTCACCCTGCCTTTGAGGCAGCAGGTGAATGAGTCAGTGCAGGACAGACTGGTGGGGCTGGGATGTAGAAAAGGCCTCTGGCCCTGGAGGCATAAAGCCTACAGAGATCCCTGAGGCACCATCCTGATTCAGGAGCACCCAGACTTAGCAATCTAGGAAGAATCTGTGTTTGTATATAGTTACATATATGTTTTTCTCTTTTATTTATTTTTTGTGTAAAGTTATCAGAAGGACCAAATGCTTCTGTTAATAAAAGTGCTTTGAAGGGGATTTACTGTTCTACAGCATTGCAAAATAGTTTAGCTGCTAATGTGACAGCAGCACCAGTCAGGCTGTGCAGGCTCGTGCTCACTCCAGGCGAGGCAGAGCCACTGCCGTGCCTTGTGAACAAGCTGCCCCATACCTGCCAGTGTAAGACCTTGATTAAAGCTGAAAGTGGTTCCTGACATTTCCAAATTCTGCCATTATGCCGAAACTATTCCACATCAGGTGTTTCCTAAAATATTATCCTCAGAATGCTTTTTTTTGTTTCAGAAAGAAATATTCGAAGAAGAATGTGTTAGACAGATAAGCATTATCACTCACATTTCTGTTACTTGTGCTTCTTTTAGATATCAACAGCAGTTTGTCAGAAACCTGTAGCATCCAAATGCTTTTGAGAAAGAAATAAAATTTGTCAGATACGCATACTCCTGTTAAAAATATTCTCATAAAGCAAATACATTGGATTGAACAGTAATATTAGAAAAATAAATAAAAGAAAAACCCCACACCTGTGATTCATCTGAAGTCAGCTGAGGCTAATATTTGACACCTGGGCACGTGAGGGATTCAGAAGGATGTCTACACTGCTCCTGAGCTCTGCCACAGGCCTGAGCACAGGAGCTGGGAACAGTGGGGATCTACCTTGTTTTCCTTAGGGTGCTGCTGGCCGCAGTGGGCAGCAATAAAGGATGTAGGATGTGACCCTGCCTGCATCCCCTGAGCAGTGTGAGGAGGGAGCTGGAGAGCCACAGCACTTCAGGCTGATCCAGTGCAAAACTGCTCACAATCTAAATTAGCTAGAGAGTACAGCTTATGCAAGAGAGATCCAGCAAAAAATGGTAATGACTGCTTGAATTTCATCCGGAGGGGATCAGAACAAACTGGAGCTTGTAGTTCACAGCAGAGGAAAACAGACTTGAGTTTCGAGTAAAGAAAAAGTAACTCCTGGTCTGTCACATAGAGATATTTTCTTCTCTATACAAATACCCATGAAGGCGAGATGGTGAGGTGTGCTAAATATTCTATAGAATTTTCCTGGTGGAGTTGTAGACTTGGTTACAAAATATAAAATCAAGGAAGAAATGTTGCCAGAATTTAAACCTGGATTTCATTAAAACGTGTTGTCATTTCTCTATAAAATACATCTGCTACAATATTCCAGAAATTTTAGACACACAATAGAGTAATAAACTGCTTTTATAACTTGGGTAATACTCTACCATAGATTCCTGATTTCCCCCCTACTGTTTGTCTGAAATTACCTCAGTACAAAAACACTCGTACATTGTGAGGGAGAAACAAATGGGTTGTCACTGCAATAAGTGGAATTTTTAAATTTGTGTATGAGATGTGTTTTATAGAGAGGACGACCAACACTGGAAGTTGGTCAGCCTGTAATTCACTGCAGATAGTTAGGTCAGCAGCGTGGGTCCCTGCCTGCGCTCCCTGGGAGCTATGTTTCCTGCTTTTCCTTCACTGGGTCAGCTCCACTGCTAGAAGCAGTGGTGAGAAACCAAGCCAGTGTGAAGGTTCCTTTCATTGCCGGTGCTTTCCCCAGTTGCAAATGCTGCTGCCGCCCACTGAGTGAACCGATTTTCCCTGGGGACACAGAGACTGTCTGACCCGATCCCCCTGTGCTGGCTGCTCTGAGGCAACAGCACTGTCTTCCAAGTGCCCTCCATGGCAAAGGCAGCTTGTTGCCTCACAGCATCAGCAGCTGGAAGAGATGTCCTTAATATTGTCTTCCACATTTCCGGTGCAGACAATTCCTTTCCCTGCCTGCTTCCTGGATGAATGTGATCCTATCCTTGAACACGACACAAAAGTCTGAGAAGGGGGTGAGTGTCTCCATCAGATAGACACATTCCTGTTCATGGTTTGGTGGGAACATGTCCATGACTGTTAGCAGATTAGGTTGATGGTTATTTCAGTATCTTCCCCCAAATATTTGTTATTTTCTCTTTCCATGGAAGAATCATATTAAAGTACTTAAGCTT